CACCACGCGTGGCGGAGCGTGACTCCGAGCACGAACTCGGCCCCCGGCCCCTGAGGAGGAGGAGGGGGGAAGATCTGGCGGCAAGCCTGGAACCCTGGAAATTTCCGTGGGGAGCCAGAAATCGGGGTGACTGCATCCCGTGGGTCCTGCTGGGAATGCGCGGGAGTAGACAGGGCGAGCAGGACTCCATGGGGCACCCATGGGTGCTTTGTGCGGGAAGCGTGGAGGCAGTGGGACGCCGGGAAGCGTGGAGATGGTGCAGGCGAAGGCATGTTTGCGGCATGCCAATACCCCCCATCCCATCTGGAACCGGGGGGGGGGGGGGGGGGGGATCTGCGTCACCGTCCCGAGTGGTCTCGCTCGGGCATGACCGAGGGGATGGAGGAAGGGATGGAGGCAGCGACCCCCGAAACCCAAGGCTGGGGGGGGCTGTGTAAGGGCGCACGCACACCCTGTTATCATCCCTGGAAGTGCAGGGAGTCTCCCTGCTCCCGATGTCTTCCCAGAGGGTCACCCACCGCCCGGACACGGCAGCGAGCCAGACGGGCGGGTTGCTGCGACCATCTCTTGGGACTGCAGCAGAAGGGAACATGCGGCGTGGGGGCACAGCTCGGGCTCCCGGGAGAGGAGAGGGGGCACAGCTGCAGCTCCCGGTGCCGGAGGCGATGGGTGGCCGTGCCGAGGGTGCTCCGGCCGCGGCGCAGATGGCGGTGCGGGTGTCGGCGCCGCGCAGGCGACAGAGCGGGCGTGGGGAGCAGACGTGTTTGCTCTGACATCTGCGGCGTCTCGCTGCAGCGAAAGGAGCAGCGCCGGGGAGGTTTGGGAGCCGGGGGGGTGGGGGGAGTCTCCCGAGAGAAGGATGCTCTGGAGCACACTGACCTCGCCGCTGCTGCTGCTGCTGTGCTAGGGTTGAGGCAATCCGGCTGTGTAGAGGAAAAAGTGATGTGTGGACGGGTTTTTTTCCTTGCCACAGGGGAGATGGTGCCCTTTTAGGAGATGCTGAGGGATGCTGGCACCCCAAAAAAAACGGGGAGGAGAGGATTGAGAGCAAGGAAGTGCCCTGTAGAATGGGGATGGCTTCCATGGGTCAGTGCCATAGGGCCAGGCTGGACAACTCGCCCCTTGCAGAGAAACTCTCTGTGGGATGTGGGATTGAGAGGGACTTTGGACAAGGACATGGAGTGACAGGACAGGGGGGAATGGCCAAAATTCTTCCCTTGAGGGTGATGAGGCCCTGGCACAGGTTGCCCAGAGAAGCTGTGGCTGCCCCATCCCTGGAAGTGTCCAAGACCAGGTTGGAGCAATCTGGGATAGTAGAAGGAGCAGCCATGGCAGGGGGTGAAACTGGGTGGTCTTTAAGGTCCCTTCTAACCCAAAGCATTCCATGACTCTGTGGTTCTGTGCTCCGAGAGGGGTCTTGGAGGCAGAAACCATGTGGGGTCTGAGCCCACAGACCCACTCCCGGGGTGACGGCAGCAGCAGGCAGAGATGAGCAGGGCCAGCTGATTTTTGGGGTCCTTCTCAGCTTGGGAGATCAGGAGGGCACTGCTGGAGACACGGACAGAGCAGACGGCAGCAGGGAAGGTACAGATGAGTCACAGACCTGCGGCGTGGGGAGCCGGGGCTCTGCGTGGCTGCTGCAGCGACAAGGCACACCAAAAAAAAAGCCCTGTCACGACGGGTGCAGCGTGTAGCTGCCCACCCACGGCGTGTGGAGCTGTACCAAGCATGGCTCTGTGCTGGCTCCCCACAGGGATCCCCCGGTGCCATGCCAGGGTGCCACCGGCACAGCCCACGGCGCCACACGGACAGAGGGGCTGTTGGTGGGAGGCTGGAGGGGACAGTGGTGTGGCCACAGGCAGGGGTCTAAAGAGGGACCCCCCCAAAGAGGTCCCCCTGCCATGGGCAGGGACACTTTCCACCAGTCCAGGTTGCTCCTGACAGGGTCCAGAGGCAGGATTGGTGAGCGGAGCTGCATCTGGAGCTCTCGGCCAAGCCTGGGCACCTGGCCAGGCTGGAGCATGGATGTCACAGGGTGTCTGGGCAGTAGGGATGGGTCACCTGGAGGTGTCACAGTGAGGAGGAGGTGGTGACGTGGGGAGCAGTGCCCAGTGGGATTGGCCCCATGGCCTGTTATCCCGTGTCACAGCCAAGGGGAGCATGCGCTCAGGCTCCTGGCACAGGGAGCCGGCAGCAGGTTTGGCAGCATCCCGGCAGGTTCTCCTGCCAAGTGCCACATGGAAACAGACACAATCCTGGATAGTGCTCCAGGGGGTTGTTAGCGGTTCGGAGGCAGCTTCCCTGTGGTCTGGAAAGCTGCCGGAGATCATCAGTGCCCAAGTCCTTGCTGATCCCTCCTTGTTCCTGGGCCAGTGTGAGTGCACACAGGGGTCTGGTGCTGCTGGGGGATCACTGCAGGGGCCTGCGTGGGCTCTGCCTCCATCCCGCAGGTATGACGCAGGGAAAGACGGCTTCATTGACCTGATGGAGCTGAAGCTGATGATGGAGAAGCTGGGAGCTCCACAGACACACCTGGGCCTGAAGAACATGATCAAGGAGGTGGATGAAGACCTGGACAGCAAGCTCAGCTTTCGAGAGGTGAGGGGTGAGAGGGGCTGGGGGTGTTCCATGCTGGCAGGGAGGTGTTGCCAACTACTGGTTGTGGTGGAGAGAAGGTGGCGAGGGACCATGGAGGCTTTGGGGTCTTGAGGAAGCTGATACCACTGCCTCCCCTCGCAGTTCCTGCTGATTTTCCGGAAGGCAGCAGCGGGAGAGCTGCAGGAGGACAGCGGGCTGCACGCCCTGGCCCGGCTCTCCGAGATCGACGTCTCCACGGAGGGGGTGAAAGGTGCCAAGAACTTCTTCGAGGCCAAGGTGAGGCAGGTGCCAGGGCAGAGGGGTCCCATTACAGGACAGTGATGCATGGGGGCAGTTTGGTGCCGGGTAATGGGCGGGCAGGAGATGGAGATGTTTGGGTGGGCAGCAGGGCTTGGCAGGGGTCCCAGCTGGAGATGCCCATCCACAGGCACAAGCCATCAACGAAGCCAGCCGCTTCGAGGAGGAGATCAGGGCGGAGCAGGAGGAGAAGAAGAAGCAGGCGGAGGAGCTGAAGCAGAGGAAGGCGGCCTTCAAGGAGCTGCAGTCCAACTTCACGCAGTGACGGGGCCGGGCAGGACTGGTCAGCGGTGCCCGGGCTGGGAAGGCGGCGTGTGCCACGTGCCAACCGCGCCGGGAGCGGTGCCAGAGCCACGTGCTGCTCGGGCTGCCAACGAGATCCCGGCACGGGCTCGGCACAGCACCCACCTTGCTGGCAGAGCCCGGCCGGCCCCAGCTCCCCCCTCCCCTCTTGCTGTGGTGTCTGTAGGTGTTGTTTGTGCCCCCCCCCCCACATCCCCAGCGTGCCCCCCACACCCTGAGCAGCCCCTGTTCCATGCCCACAGCTGCACCAGGGGGTTGCTGCTGCTGAGTCCCAGGGGGGAGCCGTGTCCAGAATGCCCATCCCTGGGACTCCTGTGCCCGGACTGTTGTCTGCTGCGTGTGCACTGGGAGGTTTGCAGGATGGGGGCTTGCCCAGGTGGCCGTGGTGGGTGTCGTGGTGGCCGTACTGGCTCAGTGTCTGTCAGTAGTGCCACATGTGACAGCGGTGACAAAAGCCGTGGCGAGGGCCAGGTGCTGGCAGAGGGGCTGTGTGTGTGTGTGTGTGTGTGTGTGTGTGTGTGTGGTGCTGCGGGGTGGATGCCCACCCTGCTGGCACGGAGCCCCCAGGAGCTGTGGCAACTCTTTATTTTGGTCAAAGACATACAGAAAGGCAGCTGCTGGCTCGTGGGGCTGTGTTATGTTTTTTCCTGTTGTATCCGGCCTGGGAGGGTGAGCATGGTGGCCACAAGTGGTTGCCATCAGTCATCATTGAGGCTCCTGTGTTGGTGGGTGGCTGTAAAGACCCACATTTGTCCCACACTGTCCCCCAAGTGGCGATATAGGGGGTATGTTATGTGTTCTTTTTTTTTTTTAATTTAATCCCAAATAAATATTATATTTCTTAAGAGCTGGGTGCTGTTGTTGCAACCGTGGGAAGAAGCCTGGGGAGGGAGGTGTGGCCTTTGGGCACCAGGTCGCCACCACAGGAGGTGGCAGGGAATGGGGAAACGTGGGGACATTGGTGTGGGAAGCAGCAGGGGCCCGATCCAGGTGTGGGGACGTGGTGCTCTCAAAGGCCATCGGCAACACTGCTGGCACCTGCCCCCTGTCCCACCCACCCTGCAGCACCTGTGGGGTTTGGCTGGTCTTGGCCACTGAGATAAAGGGACCTTGTCCCTAGTGGGGGGGTGGTGCGGTACAGAGTGGGGTGTTGTGTCCTGGGGCAGATGGTGCTCGAATTTGGGGTGCAGCAGGGCTGACCAGCACCCCACAGAGAGCAGTGGGGATGGGGCATCTCCACCAGCTTCCCCCCAGGAGGGACCCACCTGTCTCTGCCACGTCCCATCATGGTGCCAGCACACCGTGGGCAGATGTGGCTGTTCCCAGGCGGGACGGGGAGTGCGATAAGATGGGGCAAGGGGGCCGAGGAGTCCTGTGCCACCAGTGTGGGAGAGTCCCCACATGGCAGCGGTAGGAGGGACCATCCAAGGTCCCCAGACCCTATAAGAGGGGTGAGCAGCCCCAGGGCAGCACCTGTGGTCAAGCACAACCATGCTGGGGGCCGTCTGTCTCGTCGTGCTGCTGGGCTACGGTGGGTGCAGGGGAAGGGGAGGGGATGGGACAGGGGGAGAAGGGGCCCTTGGTGCCTGCCATGGCCCTGGGCATGGGGTCAGGCAGCCTCTGATGTCCCTGTCCTGGGTGTCACACAGCCTATGGATGCGGCCAGCCGGCCGTGCCCCCACAGCTGGGCGCCCGTGTGGTGGGCGGTGAGGACGCCGTAGCCCACAGCTGGCCCTGGCAGGTAAGGGGGGCACAGGGATGGGGGTGGGAGACAGGGCTGGGGACATTCCTGCTCTGACCCTGTGCCTCTGCCATGGCAGATCTCGCTGCAGTACAAGAGCTTTGGATCTTGGTACCACACCTGCGGCGGGACCCTCATTGCTCCCCAGTGGGTGCTGACGGCCGCCCACTGCATCAGGTTGGTGTCAGGGTGCTGGGCGAGGTCTGTGCCATGGAAGTAAGGCATTTGTGGGGACTGACACCCTGCTTTTTTTCCCCCCTGGCAGCTCTTCCATGACATACCGTGTGCTGCTGGGCAAGCAGGACCTGTCAGAGGACGACGAGCCCGGCTCGGTGGCCGTGGGCGTGGAGAAGACGATCGTCCATGAGAAGTGGAACTCCTACCTCATCATGTAGGGGATGAGACATGTCAGGGGTGGATGGAGGGTGTTGCTGCCAGGGACCCCCATCCCCACAGCCCGGGATCCATCCCCATGCCTCATCTGTCTCCACAGCAACGACATCGCCCTGATCAAGCTGGAAGAGGCAGTCCAGGAGAGCGATACCATCCGGGCCGCCTGCCTGCCTGAGGCCGGCAAGATCCTGCCCAACGACTACCCCTGCTACGTCACCGGCTGGGGACGCATCAGGAGTAAGCAGGGGGGGGTCCCCAGAGGGTCCCAGGGGAGGGGGTGCTGGCACAGCCTTCTTGAGGTACGAGCTTTGCATGTCATTGCAGCCAACGGGCCCCTGGCCGACGTCCTGCAGCAGGCCCTGCTGCCTGTGGTGGACTACGAGACCTGCTCGCAGAGGGACTGGTGGGGCAACAACGTGCTCACCACCATGGTTTGTGCCGGCGGTGACGGCGTCACCTCTGGCTGCAACGTGAGTGCTGGCACTGCTGGGCTGGGGTGGACGGTGGGTGGTTGAGCAGGGCAGGATCGCGGCACCGGGATGGGAGGAGATGGCCGGGGGGCATCAATGGGGAGCCCGGGAGCGGTGGGTATGGAGCACGGATCTCTCTCTCCCTGCAGGGCGATTCCGGCGGCCCCCTGAACTGCCAGCGCGAGGACGGGATCTGGGAGGTGGAAGGGATCGTCAGCTTCGGCTCCGGGCTGAGCTGCAACCTGATCAGGAAGCCAACGGTGTTCACCCGCGTGTCTGCCTACATCGACTGGATCAACGAGGTGGGTGCCCCTTCCTCTGCCCCCGCACAGGGGGTGGCCACGCCACCCCTGCCCTGCCGAGGGTCTCACCGTGAGCCCCCCTGTGTCTTGTCTTTGGCAGAAAATGAGCTCCAACTGAGGACTTGGCACGTGGAGATACGAGTGTTGAGTGTGATAAAGACAAAAGTGCTGAGCTGGTCTCTTGGTGCCCCACTGATTTTTTTGGGGGGACAGGGTGGAGCTGGGGGCAGACACCCAGGGCTGGGTCTGGTGATGTTGGGTCCTGAGCTGGGGAAGGTGTCCCTGTTGTGCAGTGGGGCTGGGCAGGGCCCCAGGGAGGCTGAGGTGGACAGACATCCCACAAGGTGCTCCCACTTGTGGGGGAGAGCCATGGCTGAGCCCAATGACTCCAGGTTTGGCTGGTGGTTTTATGGGAGAGGGACTGGGATCTGTCCAGGTGGTTCTGGGGGGCTTCAAGGAACCCACTTGGCCCTTGGAAGTGATCTAGGATACTTGGTAGATCCTGGAATCCTTTAGAGGACCTCACTGGCACTGGGCTAGATGAGGGCAGCTGAATTTTAATGGGGGTCTTGAGGGAACTGGGTTGGCTCTGGGGGCTTGAGGAGGGCTGATTGGTTTGAGAGGGGTCGGGGGAGCTTGAGGGAGCTCTGTTGGAGCCAGAGCCCTTGGGACACAGTGGGTAGGGCCTGGAAGGATGGCAGGTGCATCCCAGCTGTGGGATTCGTGGGAGAAGCCAGGGCTGCCCTGGAGGAGATGGGAGAGGGATTTTCCATGAAAAAGGCAGCTGTGTAGGTGGCAGTGGGTGTGAAGGGGCTGCCCAGGAGGTGTGAGTGGGTGGGTGCTGCACTGTGAGCCCCTGAGCAGAGCCATCCCCTGTGCCATCACCCCATCGTGGCTGCCGGAGCCCAACCGGGATCCTCACGGCGGGAGGAGGAGGAGGAGAACGAGCAGGAGAGGATGTGATGGATGGTGCCTGGTTTAGGAGCCCTGCAGCCACTGGAACCATGAGTGGCACCGTCACCAGACCAGCAAAGAACTCTGGAACCTTCACCAGGGCTTGGGAGCACCGGCACGAGCCACTCAGGGTCTCTCTGGGGACCCTGTGACACGTGCCAACCTGGCCACGGGTTTAGTGGGAGGAGAGGGGTGTGGGGTGGGAAATGGTCTGGAGGGTGAGGTAATGTGCTGTGGCAAAGGGACTGTCCAGATCACCCCGAGGGGAATTAAAGGCCTGTCACAGGATGTGGTGTGGAGGTGGATGCTCTGTGTGTGATCCAGGTGGCACTGGGTGGTCGGGGCACTGGCGGGGGGAGGGCTGGGTGGGGGGGCTGTGCTGCCCAGAGTGGAGAGCTCCAGGCTGTCCGTGTGAAGCTGAGCAGTGGAACGTGCCCCCTTGCCCTGTGTGTGCACCCACATGTGCTGTGGGGTCACTGGTTGGGGCTGGGAGGAAGGGGCTGGGGGGTGCAGGACCTTGGTGTCACAGCCTATTGTATCGTGATGTGCTGTCACCTCGTTGCCGTGGGTGTGCCTGTGCATTGTGTCCCATCCTCAGAGGTGGTTTGGTGAGCAGAGGGGCCAGGGCATGGCCCCAGAGTGCCACATTCTCAGTGCTGGGGCATCAGTACTCAGTGGACCATTTCCCACACAGCCAGCCACGGCCATCCCCCTGCACTGTGTGTCACCCCAATAACCAGTGTCCTCTCACCCATGGGTGGTGGAGAATTGTGGTCCCTCTGGGTGAAGAACCCTTTCCTAATACCCAGTCCCTCCCCTGGCACAGCTCCAGGTGTGCCCTCGGGTCCTGTCACTGCTCACAGAGAGCAGAGGTCGGTGCTGCCCCTCTGCTGTCCCTGGTGAGGAAGCTGCTCAGCACAGTGAGGGCTCCCCTCAGCCTCCTCTTCTCCAGAGGGTGACTTCACCCACCCCTTGGATGGCTTCACTTGTGTGTGGTTACCTCCCCACCTTAACCACTTTTAATCTTTAAGGCTGTATAGAGTTTAACACATAAACATTATATTTACGTGTTAATTGTCTGTCAATTATTGTTATATCCTGCCCATGCAGTTTATAATTGACACATTAAATCTACAAGTTAACCTTAAAAAGAGTTTACTAAAATTTTATTTTTTGTTAGTTTTAAATGTGTAACACCTTGTAGGATGTGTCCATTATGAAAGTATTTAACAGTGTGGGAGAATGAGGGAAAGTTTAAGAGGGTACAGTGAAACTTTGTAAAATTTATAACTTTTACTTCACTGTTGAAAGCTGTGAGTACTCATACACCCACTTACATAAAAATTACATGTCAAAAGTCATCTTTACCCACTCCTGGGAATGAGAGCTCAGGGACGTCCGGGAGGAAGGGACAAACCCCCCTGACAGCAGCATCCTTTGCTGATGGGACAGAGCCATGGGCGAGCAGGACCCCACAGCACATGGTGTCAGTCCACATCCCGGGCTCTCCTGGGGGACATCCTGCACTGCAAGACAGGGAGAAGGGAGATGAGCAGCAGGGTCCATGGGATAACCCCAAAAGAGCATCCCCCATCCCTCCCTGAGCCCCCACAGTCCTCCAGCTTCACCACACATCCCCCTCCCATAGCTGTGCCACCACAGTGCTCCCACTCTGATTTCCCCTCCAACCAAGGATGTCCCAGCAGGGACGAACCACTGCAGTCTGTGCCATGGAAGAAGGAAAGGGACAAGGCTGAGCCACCTCTGCCCAAAGTCACCCACCGGTCCCCTGCACCCCCACCCCATCCAGGGTGCCCATAGGACACCCCAATCCCAATGCTCCCTTGGTGGGAGAACTGGGGGAATAAACAAGGGGAGGAGCGCAGGGTTACCTTTCCCAAAGGAGAACAGGTCCAGGGGAGGTGGGATCAGCCCTTGGGATCACCTCTATACCCAGGTGCTCTGTGCAAAAGGGGTCAGGACAGGACAGGGCACTTCAGCACTCCACACCACAGGGGGATGGGGAAGGGACACAGGAGAGGGGACAGCCACGGCACTGAGCTCTCACAAACCCCTGGGCACAGGCAAGGCCATACCAAACACATCGTGGCTCCTGCCAAATCCCCTTTGGGGTGCTCAGAGTGGGTCCAGTTACTGACCCCCCGCCACAATGGGCACAGGCCCTACCATTGCTCTGGAGAACCCACCACCAGCCAAAAATACAAGGAAAAATAAAACCAAAATAAGCTGCTGCAGCTCCAAACCACAAACACAGCAATCTAAAATAAGAATGTAAGGCAAAGGAGAAGCCCCCCAAAAACTCACACATGCACCCCAGAGCTGCACACACCCCCAGGCACTCCCAGCTATTGCTGGTGCCATCATTATCCAAGATGATGCTGGAACCTGCACCCAAACATGCCAAGGACCCACAACCACCATGTGGTAAGTCTCTCAGGAAAGGGAACACCTTGTCCCTGGAAGGTGGTGGTAGGGGATTGATGTCCTGGGACAGCTGGTGCTCAAATTTGGGGTGCAGCAGGGCTGACCAGCACCCCACAGAGAGCAGTGAGGCTGTGGGACTGCCCACTAGCCATGCCCCAGGAGGGACTCTGCCCATCCCAGAGCAGGGCCAGGTGTCTCTGCCACGTCCCATCATGGTGCCAGCACACCATGGGCAGATGTGGCCGTTCCCAGGCGGGACGGGGAGTGCGATAAGATGGGGCAAGGGGGCCCCCAGTGTGGGAGAGTCCCCACATGGCAGCGGTAGGAGGGACCATCCAAGGTCCCCAGACCCTATAAGAGGGGTGAGCAGCCCCAGGGCAGCACCTTTGGTCAAGCACAACCATGCTGGGAGCCGTCTGTCTCGTCGTGCTGCTGGGCTACGGTGGGTGCAGGGGATGGGGAGGGGATGGGACAGGGGGAGAAGGGACCCCTGGTGCCTACCATGGCCCTGGGCATGGGGTCAGGCAGCCTCTGATGTCCCTGTCCCGGGTGTCACACAGCCTATGGATGCGGCCAGCCGGCCGTGCCCCCACAGCTGAGCTCCCGCGTGGTGGGCGGTGAGGACGCCGTAGCCCACAGCTGGCCCTGGCAGGTAAGGGGGGCACAGGGATGGGGGTGGGAGACAGGGC